AATACTTCTGTAACTATCAGTTTGTAGCAGCAGCTCTGAAAAGAATGGGTGGAACCAAGCTAACGCTCCCACAAGATGTTAAATGGAACTCTGTAATGGACTGTTTTGAGCCTAGTCAAGAACTGGCCTAGTCTGATGACAGTTTGTGAACAAAATCTAGAGAAAATAGATCGCACTTTCATGGCCAAAATCCTCAACATCGGGCTTAAGAGAAATGTTGAATATATGCTGAGCATCCTGAAACCCATTTCTGAAGCTTTAAACAAAATGCAGAAAAATGGCTGTTTTATTACTGATACTGTTGAAATTTGGAGGAACTGAGTGAGCACTTAAAAACAGAACTACACACTGACAGAATTAAATTACAAGCATTAAATGAGACAAGCACTGTCTCCAGTTCATTTTCTCACAAATATTGTCAATATCCGGTACCAAGGTCAAACCTTAAGTGCTGAGGAAGAGGAGTTAGCTATGACATGGGTATCCAGCAATCATTCATCTGTAATGCCAACTAGAATAAACTTCAGAGCTAAGAGGGAACCATTCAAGAAATATATGTTTGCTGATGATGTTTTAAAGAAAGTCAGACCAGTGAACTGGTGGAAGTCACTTAAGCACTTGGATTTAGAGACTGTTGAAGTAACAATTTCACTTCTAACAGCAATAGTTTCTTCTTGCTGTCCTAGAAAGAATATTGTCTTCCTTTGGACACATTCATTCTAAACTGAGAAATCATTTGGGACCTGATAAAGCAAGAAAGCTCGTGTTTCTTTTCCAGATTATGAACAAACAAAAAGATGAAGATGCGTGAGCTACAGAAGACAGTATTTTAAATTCTTCATGTGTGGACCGGGCTGATATTCTAAGGTGGTTGTTTTTTAAGATAATTTGTTATTGTTATTATTAAAGTAATGATTATTTTTCTCCTTCCAATAAAGTACGGCAGAAAAGTTGTCCAACTATGAATGATTAACCTATTAAACTGGAGATAGTTCACGTTGCAATAATTTTGTAATTATCTATCTATGATGTGTTGTAGTGGATAACTCACTGAAAGTGTCGAGACAGTGTGTGACTGCAATAAAGAAGGCCAATGCTATGCTGGGGATTATTAGGAAGGGTATTGAAAACAGATCAGCCAATATAATAATGCCCCTATATAAATCAATGGTGAGACCTCATTTGGAATACTGTGTGCAGTTCTGGGCACCACACCTTAAAAAGGATATTATAGCTTTGGAAAAAGTGCAGAAAAGGGCAACTCGAATGATAAAAGGGTTGGAACACTTTCCGTATGAGGAAAGGTTAAAGTGCTTAGGGCTCTTTAGCTTGGAGAAAAGACGACTGAGGGGTGACATGATCGAGGTTTATAAGATTATGCATGGGAAAGAGCAGGTAAAGAAAGAGGTACTTTTCTCCCTTTCTCACAATACAAGAACTCGTGGGCACTCCATGAAACTGCAGAGCGGTCGGGTTAGAACGGATAAAAGGAAGTACTTCTTCACCCAAAGAGTGATTAACACATGGAATTCACTGCCACAGGAAGTGGTGGGTGCTACAAGCATGGACAGCTTCAAAAGGGAATTAGATAAGCATATGGAGCAGAGGTCCATCAGTGGCTATTAGCCACAAGGTATAGCTAGGGGCTCTGGGGCAAGTGATGCTCTGTCTTCTTGGTGCTTGGGGGGGGGGGTCAACAGTGGGAGGGCTTCTAATGTCCTGGCCCCACTGCTGGACCTCCTGATGGCACTGGTATTTCTGGCCACTGTGTGACACAGAGTGTTGGACTGGATGGGCCTTTGGCCTGATCCAACATTGGCGTCTCTTATGTTCTTATGTTCTTATGTGTTCTAAAAGTATACCCGAATCAGTAATTTTTTGATATAACTGCAAAATTAATCTGAAAAGTTATTATTCTAGAAAGCTTCATCTGGTTGTAAATATTAAGATTATGCCAGCAAGAATGAGTCTTTATGTGGAAAACCATGATTTAAATTTAGTCTTAATGACTAGTAATTCAAACTTAAATTGATTTAAATCAAATTTACCCTGGTTCTAGTCCTTCAGATATAGACATAGGAACCACCAGAGACCACCAACATCTTTCAGACAGGACAAAAATCTGTCCGCCAAAAAGCACTCAGCCTTACTGGGGGATAACTCCAGCTCTTCCTGGAGGCCTGGAAGCCCTCAACAACAGACAAATGGGTACCTTCAGTTATTATGGAAGGCTACAGGGTATTTTGTATCTACAGCCCCCTACAAGTTTACACCATCCGTGGTTCCGCGATCTCAAGACAGGTGCCATTTACTAAGCAAAGCAATTCAGCATTTGTCACAGACTGGCACAACAGAAGAAGTCCCCCACAACCAACACTTCCAAGGAGTTTACTTGGTGCTCTTTGTGGTCCCCAAGAGATCTGGGGACTGGATAGCAATTCTAAATCTGAAGGGGCTGAACAACTGGGTGAAGAAACGCAAATTCCAGATGGAATCATTGCATCACATCCTAGAAGTTCTACAGAAAAAAACGTCCTAACCTCCCTAGACGTTAGGGAGGCCTACCTGTATGTCCCTATGCACCCGGACTCCAGGCAATTCCTCCATTTTTATCATCACGAATGTCACTTCCAGTACAAGGCCTTGCCTTTTGGCCTTTCGTTTGCCAAATGTTTTTACCAAAGTCGTCGTAGTCTTGGTCGCCAAACTGTGACAGAGGGGTAATCCACACCTACCCCTTTCTAGACGACATACTCATCAGGCCAAGGACGACACATCACCTTCAAAGTTTACAAAAATGACAGTAAAAATTCTACAGGCGCAAAAAGAGTCAGATGCCTCCCACAAGGGATCTAATCCATTTGGGAGCCAAAATTCGTACCAATCTAGCCAAAGTTTTTCTCCTGGCAGGGAAGCAACAGAGAATCAGGGCTCTGGCCACAGAGATCCAGGGCAGCAACTACATAGACCTCATGCCGTTTTCAGTGGTGCAAGAGCCTTATGATCTCAACCACAGACTTGATTCCATGGGTGCCATTCCATTCCTGGAATGCCGTGGAGCCTCCTCCCTTTTTACAGGGATATAACAACATGCACACACAAGATCCACATATCAGAAAGCCTGAAGAAGGATCTGAAGTGGTGAACAGTCCACAAGAACTTGGCCAAGGGAGTCAACATAATTCACCCTACACCAAATCATCATAACCACAGATGCCAGCAAGAGAGGTTGGGGAGCTGAACTGAGAGGCGTTCCTCCAGATCACACACAGGTTTGAGAACCCAGTGATGAACATGTTAGCATCACCAAGCATGTTACGAGGTTTCTGTCAAGATTCCACAATCCTAGGTCAGAGGGCAAGGATACTCTGTCACACTCTTGGTCCAGGGGCCCACTGTAGGTCTCCTCCCCCCAATTCCCCACATCAGCAGAATGTACAACAGGATCAGGAGGGAGGAGGCAGAAGTTATATTTGTGGCACTCTTCTGGCCAAAACGCCTGTGGTTCTTGGACCTGGTACAAATGTCAGTCACACCACCCTGGAACCTGATGGTGAAAGCAGACCACTTACAGCTTGGGAAAAGATAACCAGCTTGGATGACTTCCCCCACTGAAGGAGAATGAAACATTGGAACCTACCTGAAGGTTTCTACTTCCCACCCACCCACCTCAAAAAGAGAAAGAAAAAAGGAGAGCAACAAAGAATATAATAGCAATTAAGGGAAAAGGAAAGGAAAATACCTATGAAGGTCATACAAAGCAGGGCTTGGACACAACTGGAGGGTCAGCCTATGATCTCTCCAATAGGGGACCTTACAAAAATTTGCATAGTCCTACCAGAGTGAGTGGAGGCATGACATTGCCGCACTGAAGAGAAGAAACCTTCAGGTAGATTCCAATGTTTCGTTCAATGAAATGAATTTGCAAGGAAATGAGGTTAACCTTATTAAAGCCAAATCTGTTGTCTCTATGTTTATTCAAATGCAATACAGACCATCATGAGCTATACCAATTCCGAGCTTGTCTGAGCTAGAAAAGAAAGGTAGGATACAAGCTGATGATCTGCAAATTTTTGTGACCTTTTAGATATGCTGCATGAAGATTTGTCTGAGCGATTTGAGGATCTTCTTTCAATGGAAATTCCAGATTGGCTGATAAATCCATTTTCAGATACTGAGGAAGTTGGGGTAGTGAAGGCAGAACTAACTGAGCCACAAAATGACATTGAGCTGAAGCCAAAGTTTAAGAAACCGTACTAAGGAGCTTTGGTTACAGAAGGAAATTTCCAATAGCTATCCTGTATTTCCAACACCATATTTGGTAGAACGTGGTTTTAGTGTGACCATCCAACTTCTCTCCAAGCAAAAAAATTGCCTCCAGGTTACTAAATGTGGTGATTTAAGACTCCTCCTAAGTGACTTTAAACCAGACATTGGGAAACTGGTATCACTTCATCAAGCACATTCATGGCATTAACAATTTACTGAACAGTGAAGCAGTTACTAAACGTGGTGTCTAAGATTCTTGCTAAATGACTACCAGAATTTGAAAAGCTGGTATCGTTGGATCAAGTTCATAAATTTTGTTGAATAAATTAAACTAAAAAGTTTTAATTGTATTTTGAATAAATGTGCAATTAATTGTTGCTGTTTTGAATTTTATTGTTATTATCTTCCTTAGTGGACCATGCAAACTGCTATTGTGAAAAATGCATTTTATAGGGTAGGATGGGGGCAATGGGGATGAGTTTATGGAACCAAGGGAGTGGTGGCCCAAAAAAGTTTGGGAACATCTGACTTGAGCAATAACATTCAGTTTCTATTTCTGCATATTTTCTATTCAGCACACTGAAGCAGCAAGCAAATTCCTCTGCAGGATCTAAATGTATTCTGATTGGCAAGTCACTATATTTCTCACTCTGAAACACTCATAAAGAACCGCCTGCCTCTTGCAGGGCAGGCAGACACTTTAACTGATTAAGTATAAAAGGACAGCTCACCTAACTTTACAGGAAAGCCTGGTGGAAGCTTCATCTGCACAAACTCCCGCAGTTTGTTAAAGTGCTTAAAAGGTGCAATTACCTCTAAAACATTCAATAACCTGAAAAAGAAACACATGTGACAATTTCTTTTTAGCAGCTTGAAAATTTACCCATGCCTGCCAGAATAGTGTTCTATTATAAGAGAGATGCTTGCAGAGCAGATAGCTGCCAAAAAAAATCAAGCCATGTTCATCAGGGTAACATACTACTATTGGCCACTGTTCATACAATCAGATGGAACCATATTTGCCAACGAATTAAACAAGATTGGTCCAATTACTCCAAAACTCATTTAATCCATTGAATTCCATGACATTGTATTGACAGCAGACAATGTTTAATTACTATTTTAGCTATCTCTTGTCCTTTATTTCTGAAAAAAACCTATGCAATAAATTCCTCAGTGTCCGCTGAAGATTTAACACTACAGAATTTAGCCTTAAGTAATGGGAAAGCTCAAGATGTGCTGGGTACCAAATATTAACATAACAATAAGATGATCTCCTATGGAAATGTTCCAAGAAAAAGAGGCAAAAAATTATCTTTCCATATTTAGAGATTAAGCATTTCTTGTAAGTATAAATAAAAGAAGGAAATACACTCAGAAGGCTGTCAAAGTTTGATGAACTGTCATTACAAAATTAAAAGCTAGTCTCAAGTGTGTGTGTGTGTGTGTGTGTGTGTTATTAATTAGCATACAACATAAAAAAGAAAAGAATTATACAAAAAAGTGGTAGATTTAGTCCATCAAGTGTGCAGATGTACATTTACAAAAGATTCAGCATTTAAAGTGAATCTATCATTGAAGGAAAATGTAATCAAGATGAGTATCAAAGAACACTAATATCAGATATTCCAGCAGATCAACACTGAAAAGGAAAACTGAAGACCAAATCTCAATTTTTGTGGTATTGTCAGTGGATAAATAAGTGATATATATATTACATAATGTTGTGATATGTTGTGTATTCTTTGTAATTTCTATTAAAATACAATTTTTTTAAAATAGAATTGAATATTTTCTTCTATGTGAACTATAAACACAATTATTTTACAGCTCAGATGATAGTTTTTAAGGGCCATTAAAATCCTTCTATACAACAAAAAAATCCAAGTTATAACGCTCCATACCTAAAAATCAACTCTCTCAAAGCTATTTTTTCCATATTGATAATCAGTTATGGAATTTTAGTAAACTCTGAGATCTATTAGGGGTGTGCACTGAGTATATACTAAGCCAAATAAATTCCTAAAAAGTACCTTATCAATATTTTTCGGGTATTTATTCAGCCAAATACAGATTGGAGAGTCTGATTCAGCTACTGAAATAGCTGTGCCCAAATAAAAGCTGATATTATTCAGCTTTTATTGGGGCATGGCTAGAAGGCATTTAAAGAAGTTTAAATCCCTTCTGAGTTCACTTGCTGAGTTGCGCTTCTGCATCAACATAAATCAGCAAGTAAACTCAGCAAGAATCTAAAGAGACCACTTTAGATGGCTATCTTGATTAGGTAAAGCATCATGTACAGTAAAACTATATATAAATGTAGGGGGAAAATGACTTTTTGCTTGACTTATGCCTTATATCACAAAAACAGTAGTATCAGTTATTTATAGGAGAATTTATTAGCTTTCCAACAATGGTTTAAAATTTTAAACTGGTCCCTTGGTTCACAAAATTATGCTAGGAAAAATCGGCTTTGGCCATTTCATGACACCGAAGAAAAAGAAACAAAATGATACAGGGGGAATGGAATATTTAATAGTACAGAGTGCAATTCATAGTAAGTTGTTGTTACTGAGAAAAACCAAAGCAACATTAACATATACTATATATATTACAATTTTATAAAGAATTCACGATAGCCTTCATAGCCTAGGGCCCACGTATCTGAAGGATCATCTCCTCCCGTACGTGCTTCTTCATCAACTGCTGGGTCAGGCTGCCACCTGCTGGCACTGATCAGAACCCAGATCTTTTCCATCATGGCTCCCACTCTGTGGAATGAACTCCTGGAGATCTTTAGAAGGCACTGCCAAACTTGGAGTCCTGTTTGTCTGCCAAGATTTTTGATGGAGTATGAACAGGCGGCATGTTTAGGGTGTGGTATTTGGAGTATTTATTCCATTTGGTTTAATTATTACCTTTATGCCATGTTGAGCCAAGAGGGAAGGTAGCATACACATATTTTTATAAATAAAGGGAAACTGTTTCTCACTTAAACATTAGAGAAGGCCTTCCTTAACTGATGTTTAAATCAGAAAAACTTGGTTTATTGTGGAAGTGAACACACTAACTTACAAAAGGATGTGGGACAGGTAACAACCCAAACTTGGCAGTGAGGGTGCCACAGATCCGAATGATTATATACTGGTACTAGATCAATCTTAAATCCTACTGTAGACCACATTTTTATATTCCATGAGAATATATTAAATTATAGTATCTCGAATTGACATATTTTCTATACATTAGTATGTTTCATGACATTCCCTTTCACAACCATGTTTAACAGACAAGTTTAGGACTTACGATTCAATTCCTAGAGGAAATTCTTGACTCATGGCTATTGTAGCTTTAAATGTTTTCTTGCTTTCTTTGCAAACCAGTTCCCGACCCAAATGAGGTGCTCTAATTAAAGAAAATAAAAATTAAAGTCTCCCTAAAGATAGAAGATGGAACATATTAATATTGGGTAGGGGAGCAAGAGGACAAGAGCTGTTTAACAAGAAATCTAAGAAGAATCCAGATACTAGTTATCAGAGGTGGTAAGCAACTAGCAGAGTAAAATAACTGAAAGGAAGGCATGAAGACACCTCCCATTAAGCCATAAAAGATTCCACACAGTACAAGTCAAATGTCAGGTTCTAAGGAGTTTCTTAGTCAACATCAAGAACTTATGTTTGCCTAGTGGGATTTCTCAATGTCCATATGGTTTCAAACACTGTTGTCACTGTGGCGCCAATTGCTATAGTATAAGAAACAGACATTTAAAGCCCTTCCAACAGGAAAAGCTCTTCCATAGGGATCTTAGATAATGAGCTTCAGGTACTCTACCTGGAATGGAAATAAGAAGATCATTTTTAAAGTTTAGATTTCTATGAATTCACTACTTGAAAATTTAAAGTAAATGAAGAATGTCTCATGCTAAAACATAACCTTTTCCTTGCATGTAATCCTGCTAATATGTTTACACCTACACTTATGGTGTCAGGGAGGACAACACACATCAAGACTGTTAGGAAAAACTTTGGAGGAATCCAAATATTCCTAAACAAGTCCACCACACGGACATTCAGAATTTACCCAAGCCAGTGTGATTGCTATCTGAATTGTAAGACTCATTCTGCATCTAAAATGAAGCAATTGCTTTAAATTGGGTTAACCATGTGAAAAATTCGTAACAGGGTACGCTTTATTTAAGGATGCCATTAGAACCCACCTATACAAATAAAGTATATGGTTGAAGGTTAGGAAACAAGTCTAAGATAAAACAAAGCAGGATTTTGGTTTGGTTTTATTGTTTATGTTGGCCAAATTCTAGAGAGCTGTTTCAGTTATGTTATGTTATAGTTATAGTGGTGGCGGCTACAAGCACGGACAGCTTCAAAAGGTAATTAGATAAGCATATGGAGCAGAGGTCCATCAGTGGCTGTTAGCCACAAGGTATAGATAGGCACTCTGGGGCAAGTGATGCTCTGTCTTCTTGGTGCTTGGGGGGGTCAATAGTGGGAGGGCTTCTAATGTCCTGGCCCCACTGGTGGACCTCCTGATGGCACCTGGTATTTTTGGCCACTGTGTGACAGAGTGTTGGACTGGATGGGCCTTTGGCCTGATCCAACATTGGCGTCTCTTATGTTCTTAGTGAGAACAGAACTTTCTTTAACCAGCACTTTCCCCCCTACTTTCCCAATCTAATAATGCAAAAGCTTTTTTGAAACTTTGTTTTTTCTTCTTTAAAAAAATACGTATGTTTCAAAAGCCATTTGCCATGTGAGGATGATGAATGCTATTTGAGAAATGCAATCACAAAACCATGGACAGAGAGCTCAGAAGTAGTAGTCTGGTTCTGAATTATAGCTCTTAGCCACAATTACAGTACCAGCAAGATCTGGGTTTGATTCCCCATTCAGGCATAAAACTCACTGTGCCAGTCACTCACTCTCAGCCTAACCTACTTCATAAGATTGTTGTGAGGATAAAAGTAGAGGGGGAGAGAAACAGCCCATGCCGCTCTGAGCTCCTTCAAGGAAGGGAGAAAATATAATGTGATAGATTCTACGTGTTCTCTAGAAAAAAGGAACAAAATACCTACAGGCACAATTCAACTGAAGTCAAGCTTTCAGATACCCTTAATTTCAGTGAGAATGTTATGCACAGGTTAATTTTCTCCAAGTAAAGCCAATGGAATCTAACATGGCTGGAGCCACTCAGATTCTAAAACCTGTTTTGATGTTTCAATAGATCAGGCTTCTCTTTACTGATACAGGAGGAATGATTTCACATGGCTACCTTTATCTTCATATACCTTAATTATTATTATGAGGTTAGCCAAAGACAGCAACTTGAATGAGAAATCTGACTATCATGGACAAAAGTAGTTCCATAAGTATATCTTTTTGATCACCAATAAGTGCTCATGGAAGAAACCATTTGGATTAACTGCTTGGTGAACTTCCATTCAACGCAGCAAATGCTTGGCTCTTTATCAGAACAGAATCCAATAGACTAATATGTAAAATCAAACCATGAAATGGAAAATGGAAAAAAGTGGTCAGATTTTTTTTAGCCAGTATTTCAAAACTTATGAACCCGTGTTGATTCAATGCCTATGTATCTTTTGACATAACGGACAGATCCACACCATCTCTGAGTAGGATCCAACGGCTTCTGTCCACAAGCAGAAGGTAAGTTATGCTCATGGAGAGGCGGTTTCACATCTTACACTGGAGTGTCAACATGAAACTAACCACTTTATCCACTTATGCAGTAAAACTGCTATTACAACACCCTGAACTCTTATGCATGCATTTGCAGAACTATTAACAACCATTTTTCTTACAGATGTTCAGCTCTAACTGCTATTCATGGCAAATAACCTTTATTTATTATTTAATTTATATCCAGGGCAGGCTCAGGGTGGCTTACACAAAGATAGTTAAGCAGATAAAACAGGAAATTGAATAAAATCACAGTAAATAAGAGATAAAAACATTACATAAAGTGCTAGTACAAATCATAAAGCGATGGCGGGCATTGGCAACATCCGACAAATCACACAGTCATCAAACATCATAGTTTGGGTCATACTGGCAGGTACAGGCTGTTAATGATGATGTTAATATTGGGGCCAGGGCCTCAGTTTATGGGGTGTGGCTCACTAGCCTCAGTTTATGGGGTGTGGCTCACTAATCAAAAGAAAGAAAGAAGCAGCCACTACCACAGATATAATTAATACTTACTTTCCATTTTCAGCAGATATGTATTCCTCCCATGTAATTGTGTTGGGTGGCGGCGGCGTGAGGGATTGCCTTCTGACAGGCTGCTAAAGAAAACATAATTATTTGTAAAATGCTACATGGTATCAAAGAACTACACTGCTTAGTAAATTCCCACAATTTACTTCATAGACCCATGTGTCATGTTTGAATGTTGCCCTTCGTTTCAGGTAGTCAAAGTGGCACATCTGCCAAACGGAACAAACTGGACCAATCCAAAATTAGAATACTGCCACACTCACCTGAACTTCTTGGTTTTATTTCAACAGTCCACTTAGACATCCTGCTTCAAGCAGAAATTTACATTGGAGATCAAGGCTAATTCAGTATCAGATATTCCCCAAGGCCAAAATGACAGGCAAGATAAGCTTAAAATATGTAACTAGTAACAGAATCATGATCACTACAACTATTTTAAAAATTGACAAAAATGCATACAGTACGCAGATCCTAGAGCAGGGGTCCCCAACATGGTGCCCAGCAACACTTTTCCTGACACCTGCCAAGTGTTTTAAGGAAGTGAGTAGGGTCAGGTAGGTCTTTTGGCCCAGCAAAGCTTCTGATCAACTACTGGAGATTTGACTGGCTGTGCAGATTTTTTAAAAAATGTTGCTTTGGCAGCAGCTGCCACCACTGCTCAAGGATCTGTACCATGTCACTGAAGCTAAGCTGTGGCAACCCTATTTGTCTCCTGTGGCAGTCACCTTGTGGCAGCCATTTTGTGGCTGGACCCATCATGTCATGCCAAAATTCCAAATGTGCTCACAAGCTCAAAAAGGTTGGGGGTCCCTGTCCTAGAGCAACTCACTAACATGAGTCCTGCTCTCAAAACTTCCCCCAAATCTAAATTTCTGGACCTTGGGACTGCAAAAGTATAATTACATGCTGGAAAAAAAATAGTTCTATTTGACAGGGAGATTTTGAAAAGCACATTTTAAAAGCTATTTCTAGGGATTCTGACTCAACTGTTTCCTGGAATTCCTGTTTGCATTATGTACAGCACCTCCTGGCAAGTTCAATATATGAGACAAGTCTGTATTTCTGATTTCTGTGATCCCTTCTGATGTACAGAAATATGCTGTATGTATGTCTTCCCAGCCCAATTTTGAGAAAACACTCAGCATACTCCTGTATATCAGAATCAGATCCAAATCAATGACTTTATTGATGATATCAGCAAGAAAGGAGGAAGATGCCTAAAAGTCCCCTAAGGTTTTGGATTCCACAGCTCTCCCCAAGGTTACAATGGGAGGCATAGGGTTTTATACTCCATATGACACTTCAGAAATAAATCACAGTTATTGGTTCCATCAAACTTTATCATTAGCCAGTCACAACCCGGTGATTGGGCCTGGGGGCTGAACTTTCCCAGGCGAAGAGGTACTTCATTCTATCAAACAATAGGCCTTTCTCTGCTCTGGCCATGAGGTTTGTAATGTTGCAAAGATGGGTACACTGTGTATGTTCTTTTAGATTCACTTTGATTCACAGGCGATGGACCTACGCCGTTAGCTAGCTAAAGCAAGCAAGATTACCAAAAAACCCCAGTATAACTGCCTGTCAGCATTTTTTAGTTTTTCTTCCCAGCATGCATTTTAAGCAATAGCCATAAGTGAACCAAAGTCTAATATCTGGATACATGTTCATGATTGATTTCAGTTATTGTGGTTAGAATCATCAAAGGCACTTAACATATCTTATATCTATGTCTGTCAGAGGTGCTAAATGTGTTCACTAAGGTTAGCATATTAACTCAGGTCAGAGTGCAGAGTGCATAACAGTGTTTCATAAACTGTGCGTACAACACTTCCTACAAAGCAAAACATAAATGCATACTCTCAAAATGGATGCTTCTCATATACCTTTTGATATACTATGCAACTCAAGTTAAGCAGTAGTTCACTGAAGGTAAACTATTGGGGGGGGGGGATTAAAACACTTCCCTTACATAACTATCCAAGTCTACGGCATAAGTGTTTTGTCTCCAGAATACACAGGGCTAGGGTTAGAAATCCTACACTGATGCTACCCTCCAGAACAGACCCAACTGCCTTAGCATTGGCAGGATCTAAAATGTAAGAAAACCAACACAAATGTGCACTAGCTATTTCTATGATAGGGTGGGTTGTGACAGAATACTGAAAAAGCTAGTGGTACAGTCAGAAGGCAAAACACTTAAGTATACATTTAAGTTTCCCCAGAATCATACCAATTGGTAAGGGGAAAAGTTTTTTAAAAAGCATCACACAATAAAACACACAATAAAGGCCCTTCAAAGTGTCAGCTACTTGGCAAAGTTAAAGGTTCCTGTCTCTCCCCCCCCCCCCCCAAAAATGTAGACTTTTCCTTTTCTCCCCTCCCACGAGCTGCGGGACTCTAAAACTCCTGTTCAATGAACGGAGGGGAGGCAGTACCAGGAATTTCTTGTGTTTATGAAAGTGATGTCAGAGAAATGAGTATGTTTAAACTACTCTTTAATATACAAACCACCATGATTCTGAAAGGTTAAAAAGGGAATTAATCACTATGCAGTTCCCGGCAGCTGTGGAGCTGGTAGCAAGGACTGCTAAGAATTTAACGCACAGTCACACTCGTTTAGATTCAACTTTTTATTTGACTCTTATGCATCAAAGGTTCAGTCCTACTCACATTCCCCTTTTTCTGGTGCTGATAGGAGCCTTAAAGTCCTGAGTCTTTTAGTGATTCATGTGGTAAAAGGAGATGAATCTCTCCCCTCTGTTAGCCAAAGATTACAAAAACTCACTGAAAGGATGAGGGCAATAAACAGTTTCTCCCAGGTAAATGTATCAAAGGAAGGGGAGGCTGTATAAACCAATCAGGAGGGCTACTCTTTTTTTAATTTTTTTTTAATTTATTGAATGACAAAACATATACAGATATTGATTTAGAAATTTAATTTTTTTTTAAAAATGACTCTGACTATAGTGTCTCTCAGGTCATCTGGGATGCAATGAAGGCATTGGTCAGAGGGAAGTACATTGCAATTACTTCAATCTTCTGTGGAGACCTCCCCTCTAGTGCCCACTGTCTTTGCGAGGCTGCCGGTGAGCTGTAGAAAGGTTAGTGGATGCGGCCTACTGGCTAAGGAGCTTAGTGGATAATTAGCTTAGTGGATGCGGCCTACTGGCTAAGGAGGGCTACTCTTAACCAACTGACCTTAGGATTACTAGAACTACCTTTCCCAGAATCCTTATAAATTTAAAGCTACAGTACAACTTGCTAGGTTTACTATTCTAAACTCTGCAGGGGGCAGCACAATCACACTGATAGCTTGATCACTAACCAAGGCCTAATCCACAAGCTTGCTCTATGCATTGTTAAAGTTCCAAGATACTTTCTACTGGCAGTCTCCAACAACCAGCTGCAACCCAGACAGTTTCAGAAACGTCATGCTACAAGCTGTTATCAGTAAAAGAGAACATGCAGCATGGACACATACAAGTATTGCACATCTAAAAGGAATCTGTTGAAAGAAGAAGAACAGATTGGATTTATACCCCGCCCTTCACTCGGAGTCTCAAGACTGGCTTACAAACTCCTTTCCCTTCCTCTCCTCACAACAGACACCCTGTGAGGTAGGTGGGGCTGAGAGAGCTCTGATAAAAACTGCTCTTTCAAGAACAGCTCGGACAGAACTATGGCTTGCCCAAGGTCATCCAGCAGCTGCAAGTGGAGGACTGGGGAATCTAACCTGGGGAGTCTGCACACTTAACCACTACACCAAACTGGCTCTGTTTGTTCTGTTCTAACCTCCATCATACCTGATTAATACAACGTTTAATAAGCTTTAACTGTACCTCAAAATTTTGTTCCATTAAGTTTCCACCTTTACTCAAGCTTTCCATGATAGCCTTATTTCGAAGAATATCTTCCTCACTGAGATGCTCTCGCCTTTTCCTTGATTCCAATACAAGCCCATTAACCAGGTAGAAGTCTGCCAAGAAGTTTCCTACCCTTTCCTGCAAGAAAAACATTATTAATTTTAAAAAAACCCCACCCTAACCATCTTACCCACCCTGTCTATAGTCCTCCCTTCAATATTTTTCTTATTTTCTCATGCTCTTATTGGGGAAAGCATTTCCTACTATAACCTTTATCACCACCCTCTGTCCCTTCTTCCAAATCTACATGACTGGGCAACAGGCATGACAGGACTGAAAATAACTCTGTGTGCCCCAGAGTTCCAAACAGCTGACTTATTATCACTTTTAGGCAACACAGTAGCACAGGATGCATGCCTTTTTTAAAAAGCCAGCCTTGCTGTTTTGTCTTCTCTGAATCGGAAGAGCCATCCTGTTTGGGCACGTGTGAAAGTAATTGATTTGGTTGATAATGTTGCAGAATAAATATCACTGCTCATCAAAATGTCAACTTCTTCCTCTGTTTCCATCTCAGATTCCTAACAGAGAATGAATATTATTTAAAACAAGGAAGCAAAAACACCGAAGTATTTAACATAGATGCATTATCTTCTACCTTTCCAAATTCTCCTCCAAGTAATTAGGAACTTTTCAAAAAGCAATTAATTCCTTGGGGAGCAGATATCCACTGAAAATGCGTGCGCAACACTGACATAACTACATCAGTGCAGAGACTGGCCAGATTCCCAAGTAGTAGACTGCAGTGTACTTTGAGTTCAGATACTTTCTGAAGCTATGTTTACGCATACAGCAGGGTCTTGGAAGATATGCAGCAGTCAGTTCCTCATGCAGTTTCCCGGCCTTTCCTGCCTTCACATATACCTGGTACTGTTGCCAACTAAATTGGAATAGCATACTACCACACAGGTATGTAATTTCTACAGCACAACAGCTTAGGATGTGCAAAACCACTGCAGAACTGACAAATTAACTAGGTATCCTGTAAAGCAACAATATATGAACAGAGCATTAGATATGCTGGACAGTATGCAATGTTTACTGAGAAGACAGACACATTCCTTGGGTCTTCAGAATAAGTCCGCATAGGATTGCAGCTGTAGACTTTTACAGGATATTATAAAAATGCAAAATTTATTCAGGTGTACACATTTTAAAACTTAGACTCATTAAAAATGTACCATTCAGACATAAAAAAACTTCTCAACATTCATACATAGATGGGTTAGTGCTGTGCAACTGAACCAAACGCGTTTCGGCCCCTCAAAGGGCCTTCCTCAGTGGTCACAATTCCAATTACAAATTTGACATACATTCAAAATTTTTTTTACATAAGATGTACATATACAGGAGAAGGCCAGATGTTGTTTCCTTCTGTATTGTATGTTATTATTCTATAAGATGGGCCTCCAGTTTAGCCAAATAAAGTCCACCAATAATTCTGGTATCACAAACTTGTGTGAGTTGAATGTATGTCACTCCATCCTGTACAAATTCTGGTTAGGGTAAGTCCGCATAGGATTGCAGCTGTAGACTTTTACAGGATGCCAGTGGTGTATTATTGCAGGGTTTTTTAAGCCTAAATAGTAAGAGTAATTTTTCATATAAAGCAGTTTACTTCTGGTTTGTAACATTTTTTAAACATTTCAGTTATGCTATGGCTTACCTCATGATGTATTCGTTGGTAAACTTTTTGTTCATTGTCTAAAACTACAAAGGATTCAGAGGGTGCAGCATCACCATTGAAAATGAAGCTTAAATCCCCTCGTTGGCACTTCATGTCAGTAAAGTCTATGAGTGTTGTGTCGAGCCTAGAGAAACATCCCAACATTTGAGTAGACCCAGAAAATCAGACATATATTATATTGCTTAAATAAAAGTGTAATGAAAAAAGGTATTCCAGGAAGCCTTAGTTCAAATCAAGCCTTGCTTCTAGGAAGACTGACATGAAAGACAACAAGCAAATCAAAAAGGCTAAAACAAGGAAAGAAAGACGAAAATGCCAAACAGAAAAGTGGAGACGAGTACATAGAAAGTAGGTATGGGTTCAAACAAACATGTGCAAAAGCATAAAGCAAAGACTGATGGGGGAGAATCAATTGGGAAAGGATGGGAATGCTGAAAGGAAAGAAAGGCACATGAAGGGAATATGAGGTCATAAAAGCCTCTCTTTACGAAAGGACCTCATATATCCCTTTTCTAAAACTGAATACGCAGACCATTCTGTTCGTATATATACAGAGTTAATAAATTGTTTCAAATTTTACAAACTTTCCTGCTTAGAAGTGGCCATTTTATTTAAAAAAAAAATTATATGCCGCCTCTCCAGAGACCTGTCTAAGGCAGCTCAAAGTAAAAACATCACAATAAAATCATAAAAGTATAAAAGTTATTGATACTGAAAACAGCAACAAAACAAGCACAGAGTCTGTTAGGGACATAAACAATATTCAGCAACCCAGAAGAGTGTTAATAAAACAGATGTGTGGCCATAAATAGTACAGCTAAAAAAGATGGAACCTTTCAGTCCAAAGCCTGGGTAAAAGTTTGCTCTTGATTTACCCTATAATGTTGGTGGCCAACATAATGACAACAGGGTAGAGTATCCTCCCTAATCTATGCTACAACAATCCTCTACCACTGGATTGTCCTAAATCAAGGAACAAATGCTAAATTCTACAATGCAAAGTTCAGCACATGTTTATATTACACTTGATGAATGTCTTATTTAAAGATGTCCTCATAAATAAAAAGTCTCCTACAAACATGGTAGAAGAGATTAATAAATACTAGTACTAAAATAAGCACATTATAAAGTACAGCAATATTCAGTCTAATGTAGCGAGACTGAACTAGATAGTGTTTTTGTTTTCTTTCTTTCAATATTATGAGAATCTTTAAATTAAAGGTGAAGAAGAGATTGAAGGGAGGAATGCTCCCTTTGACACATATGCTTAAATAAGATCTTTGTTTAAAAAGAAATTGTAAAATCATCTTGATTTATTTGAAGTAAATAACTCCAAATAATCTAATGGGTCATTGTACCACATAATTAAATGCAGTTGCTCACTCTGAAACACCTGCACAATCCCTTCAAGATCAAAGCTACAAATAAGAAGACCATGTTGAAAATGGCCTTGAAGCATGCTTAGGCTTCACACCAAACACACTGTTATTCACATCGAACGTCCAGAGAGAGCCACTTTACAGAATGACATGACTAATTTATCCAATTTTCAATACTCAGAATTTTGAGAGTCCAGTTACGCAAAAGACACTTCAACAAATGACTGAATACAGTTAAGGGTCACTCCACACTTTTAACAGAAAATGAAAAATAAAAAGGAGATTTTAGTGGGGTTAAAATTGTGTTCTGAATCTACACAATCTTAGAAAGATAAAAACTTTTCTTACCTGATATTTATACCTTGTTTGTATATTTTGCATGCATCAGAAGGCAGAATTCGGGAAAGTAAAGGCACTATTTGGAAAAAAATTCTCATTAATATCATTCCATTCAAATGGTTATATTGTAGAGAATAATAAATTACTTTCCTTCTGTACATCAATGAGACTAGACTCAAAGACAGGCAATCTGATGGAAGTCCTACACCTTTAAAACATACCACTTATTTCACTTTTACACCACACCATTTATTTCTGCTTTAAAACACTGGTTGAAAGCAAACTGAGTTTTATTATTTATTTAGATTACTGATACTCTGCCTCTCAATGTAACTATGAGAAAATTTAAAAAGTCAATGAAACTTGAAATAATAAAATCACACACAAAAGCTGCAAAACTGATCACCAGTGAACAACATCTAAAAACGTTAATTGCACAAAGTTGATAACCAGAGTTAGCATTGAAAAAAGAAAGAAGGGAATCTAGACAATGTAGAGAAAGGAACATCTAAAACCCCAAAAAAACAGGAGAAGGTGAGTATGTAATCTTGAAAACTGCTATTAATCAAGTCATTGACATTAAGACAGAGTTCTTAGAAGATTCAGAAAGGAAATAAACAGTAAGTTTAACCATGAACTTACAGACTGCATTATGAATGTGAGAGTATACAAGAGATATTTACAAACATAATATTTTACACCAACAAATGTTTGTATTTTCTATATAAAGTTGACTCTAGCAAATACGTAATTAATACTTCTGAACAATTAGTTAATTTTAGAGAACTATCAGGCTCCTAATTTTAAAAATAAAAATCTTACCCCAACTTTGAAAATCCCAGTGAAGTTCAAGATAGAAGTCACCTAGCTGAAGAAAGATAGAATTGTTTGTTAAAGGATAGTAAACTGACATTTTTAGAACTGAGATACACAACTGGAAACAATGTCTAAAATCTAAGACCTGAATATGGTTAGCATTATTGATATAAATTATATGTTCCTCATTAAAGAAAACAGGGAGACCTACAGTCATACAAATTCCTATTGAACAAGAGAAACTGCTTCAGAATTCCTGATGAAAAAGTCCTCAACATTGTACTGCAGGATTCTACAGCTATCTAGGGCCCCCAGAAATACTTCTCTTATGAACTCAGAAAGTACCACATAGACCATTCAGAGATCACAACAAACTTTAAATAGAGGTTTGTCAGTGTTATGCAAAAACAGTTTGTTCATTATGTTTATGCACTCACCCTCAGTTCTCCTGCTTCTAGCATGTGGATCCCGATCGGACACTTCCTGTACAATCAAGCACCAATTTCCAGTGACATCAAACCACAAGTGCCTAGGCAAGCTGGTTTCCTCCCACAAACTGAGATTTTAAATCTTGTTTAAATCCCAGTTCAGAATCTCATCTTGGGCGGGGGAGAAAAACTTTAAGTTCATGAGCCACCTGCATTCTGATGTCATGGCAAATTAGAGTTTGATTTATTGGGAGGTGTGTTGTTGTTGTTATTGTTATTATTATTAATTTTATTGGTAATGGATAGGCAAAGGTCCTGCCCCTTTTGGTCAGTCACCAATCCCGTGTGTGTGCTGTGCACAGCAGCTAACAGCCAATCAGGACAAGTGTTCCCTCTAAACTGAGTTAGTATGAGCTAGCTCAGTTTTTTAGCCTCTGGCTCACAGATTTTTGTCTTAGCTCAGGAAGGAGGGCTTCAGAGCAAACTAATTATTGCAGTAGCCAATCGCTTGCTCACAACTTTAATGCCAGTAGCTCACAAAGTAGAATTTTTGCTCACTAAACTCCACACCTTGGGAGCACTGATCAGGGCCCATGGATGGCTGAAGAAGCCAGATGGGAGGGAGAGGGAGAGAGTAAAATTAGTTACAATGTCAGCTCAAATAAAATTGTGCTTCCAGAGGCGCAGGAAAAAGAAATCCTTTCTCAGGAGACTTGGGATGTCTCAGAGTCTGTCTTAAGTGTAAACAAGCTGAAACAGTGAATTGTTTGGAGGCAGGGTTTCCACTACAGAGGGTTAGGGTGAAAATCCTCTTCCAGGATTCTTTGGATGTCTCAGAGTCTATCTTTAATGGGAAAGCACAGTAGCATAGTGATAACTTCAGGAAAAGACTACAGCTGTCTCACGACACAGTTTCTTAGGCTAAAGCTCTGTAGTCTCTGGGAGGACCTCACATTTATACTGTGAGATTCATGAGGCTAAAGGAAAGCCAATATGGACTTTAAGAATAAAAGCTTGGCTGTTAACTGTTCTGTGCACCCAGGAACTGACAACTGAAACTGTATAATTTAATGAGCCCAGCAAAACCTGTGTTACCTGCAAACACTTTCAAGCCTCATAACAGAATATCCTTATTTTCCCTATTCCTAAAAACCCTGTTTCTCCATAAAGAAATAACTGCAATTAGAAGGCCACTTGGGTTCAGTCGAGAAAGGGTTGAGGTTGAGATCAAACTACAAAGCATGCAATGCTACCTCTGTTTAAATGGCATTTATTTTATTTATTTTTACCCCGCCCTCCCCGTGAGCGGGCTCAGGGTGGTTTACAAGAGGGCACAAGCCCATACATAAAAACAGGATAAAACAGTAAAAACATTAAACAACAACAAAACAATAAACGCAATAAACAAACGCAAATAACTCCATACAAACAAGATGGTCTCCGAAGACGGTATCAATCCTTTCATTGGGGTGATATTGTCCAGTCAATGGTCCAAGGCATGCAAGATTGTGGCAGATCTTCCGGGGACCTCCCCTAACCCCGTTGTTATCTCCACCATTGATAGTAGTGGTCGTGATAGTGGTGGCCCCTATATAAAAGCCTGGCGGAAAAGCTCCATCTTGAAGGCCCTGCGGAATTGCATAAGGTCCTGTAGGGCCCTTGTTAGCCAAATTGCTTTATCTACAGCAATTGGCAATTTAGATGGGTTCTTGCCAGTGTCTACCAAGGTCCAGTTCCCACCAAGGGTTACCAGTAAAAGGAGTCGAGGCTAGTGTTGTTCAAAATAACTGTCTTTTACTTAAGAATATAAATCACATACAAACAATATTGATGCTCTCACAACATTCAATCAAGTTCCTTAGAAATACAGTATTAAACTTTATGGCGGCGCGCTAGCAGTCGCACCTCCCGGACCTCCCGGGGGTGAGGCTGTGCTCTGGCTGAAAAAGGGTGTGTGCAGGTTCGCAACCCCCCCCCCCCAGGGTCCCGACGAAGGGACCCTGGCCATGGAACTTTCAAGAGGCTGCCTCTTCGAGGGCGGAATGCCTGAGAATTGAGGCACCTCTTCGTTCCGACGGTTCTCCATGCCAAGAGACCGAATGGGCTTAGCAACGCTGACCGAGCCGAGCAAAGGAGATCACGCGGCAGAAAAGAAATGAAAGCGAGGTTGAACGACCGATTATGAACGTGAGTCAGTTTCGTGGTGTTTAAAGAGGAAATGTAGCTCCCCACCCTACCCTACTGAACGGGGGGGGGGGAAGCAAGCGGGGGAGGGACACCTCCCATGTGCATGAATTTTTGAGCGATCGAGGGGGGGAGCGGAAGAAAACGTGATAGAAACTGTCTAGAAGTACTTACCCAAGCGAGGCCAAGCGGTCAAGTGCACATTCAGAGACTTTAACAAATTTTGTGAAAGTAAATAAACGAAAAAGATGGCGGGGAAGAGGGACAAAGAAAGACTTTTGAAAACAAAACCGGAGAGCCCAAAGCCAGAAACGACCAGTGAGATGGCAAAGGCTGTAGCTGATTACATGCGCCCTCTACTGGAACAGCTGAATAACTTCAAAGAACAGATGTCCGTGGTAACACAAAGTATTACTGCACAACAAACGCAAATAACTGACTTGATCCAGATAATGAAGCAAGATGCTGAGAAAGTTAAGGAAGTGGCCGCAACTATGCAGAAAGTAAAGAAGAAAGTGCAAAAGCTGGAAAAGAAACAAACTTCTTTGGAAGACCAAATGCTGCAAGTCCAAATGGATAAGGCTAACATGGTCCTGCGCTTCCAGGGTGTTCCAGAGAACAGAGGAGAGAATCTTAAAGAACTTATGAGTGAGCTACTAGCCCCAGTAACAGAAATGAAGGCGGAATCGCTGCTCAACGATATGGATGTGTCCTATAGGTCATATTCAGGATATATAAAGAAAAATAATCTGCCTGGGAAAATTGTAGTAAGATTTTCGAAGAGGCACATCAGGGATGCAATCCTGAAAGCGGTGGCTGCAACACCCCTGAAAGCAGGGGAGAATGCTATCAGAACGCTAAAGGATATTCCATTTGAAGTGAGACAACGCAAAAAGAAATATAAAGAACTTGTGCTCTTTCTCCAAACAAATTCAATTGGATACAAATGGCTATTTCCAGAAGGCGTAACGTTTAAGATCAAAGAGAAAAAGGAAAAGATTGACTCTGTTCTGAAAGCTCAAGAATTCTTAAAGGAACAGTTGGGAAGGTCAGAGGATGAAAAAAAAGAAGAGGACAGTAGGTCCAGTGGCGAGCTGAAAACTGGTTTTTCTGGTGAGGACTCTCTGTCTGAGCAGGGGGCAGCCGCCCCAAAAAGTCCCTACAAGTTGCGGAAGAGAAGGGAAAAGAAGAAGTAAAGGCTGACGGACTCTGAATTGTGCCTTTGAGAACTTGAGAACAGCACAGACATTCTGATGCAGTAATTCAGAGCAAGAGGTGTCAGTTACCAGACACTGTTAAATAAACAAAATATTGCAAGAGTGCTAATGTTTTAAGCATGCTTTTATTTTAAGTTAAAAAAAACCCTTTGTGTTTGTGTCCTTTATAAAGTTTATATCTCCGCTACCTGGCATTACATTTTATGACACACATGGCCTGGCCCAGGAAGGTCTCATTTATGTCAGATCCGGCCCTCATAACAAATGAGGGCTTCCAGCAGGAAGAGACCTATATTAATAGTTTGCCAGTTCATATTGGCCCATGCCATATTAACCCCTAGGCTGAACCACTATAACATTCTCATTAAGTGCAACTACCTGTTGAATATCTGCAAGTTAAAGACTCCATATTCTCAAATGATGATAGACAAGATATTTACAAACTTACCTCTTTCAGGGCTTTTAATAATCGAGGTCGCTTTTCTTCAACGCTTTCCCTAGACTGTTGTTTCAGTTTCCTTAGAAGTGCTGTAACTAAATAAATATACTATAAGCCAAGTAACAAAGTCCAATGAGCAGACAAAAAAACTAGAAATTATTGAAAAGGTTTGAGTGGCAGGTGCTAAAAGCCAGCCAGCACAAAGGTATTTCCAAACAGCACTTTTCCCTGTACTACTGATCAGAACATTGAACTGACTGTGAAAGTCCCTTTTGTTTGAGAACAAGGACATCCTGGCATGTTTGGGTACTCCTCTTCCCATCATCCTAGGAGGCAGAAACTAGATTGCTCTTTCCACTGCCGAGGGGAGGGGACTGCCCACTCTCTTCAGTTTGGAGGTTTCTACAGCTCCTAAAGAGAGTTACTCTGTGTGCCTTGAGCTTTCCTCCATCCTGACATTCATATCTGTCAAAGAGATTTAATAGCAGTTTCTTTCAACATTAACTGCAGCAACATCTGTTTTGCAATTGCAAAAAACCCAAAAATTACACAAAGATACAAATTTCAATTCAAGTAAACTCTGAATACTAACAAATGACATAACATTTTTGTTATTATTTTAAACGTACACTAAAAATTATATAAACGTTCTATCTAAAATGGTTGGGAAAGGACATCATTAAGTTCTACTTGTATTCTTCTACTTTGTCACGGCAGGACCAGGGGGCGTGCCACAAGCAAGCAAAAGTCCAGGAACAGTCCGAGGTCAAGCCGGGCAAACCAG